ACAAATGCTTTTAGGCTCCTACAGGTGTCATATGTTGACAGTCTTCTTTTCAATTTGGCATCAATGTAATCCATAAAAGACAAACCTAACTCCGTACAAACTTTACATTTTGTCTCCTCAGCTAGCTCAGTCTCCGTTGGAGCTGCACTCTTTCAGTGGGAGTAAGCTTTCTTTCAGGTGCTGGAAATAAGCCTGTGTCTGCTCTCACTGAATATAGTTTGTTGCATACTACACAACCAGATATTTAGCCTGCTAAATATTTTTTTGCCATCTCATTGACAAGCTCTCAGCGAGCCTACTGATTATGTCTTTGAACAGTTCAAAAAGAGCAATTGTCCTCACGAGAGCTAGCTTTTTTTATTATATATATTAATAATGTATTTTTTATATATCATATTATATTATTTCTCTCTTAATATTGCCTCTGTAAAGCCCTTTTGTGACTTACGTCTGTCAAAAGCTCTGTACGTAATCTACACATACGTTTTACATTTTTACTTTTACTAATACAAAAGTTGGACACCAGGACATAGTCAAAGAATTTTGTGAAACGTTTGTAATTATTAGTTCGTAATTATTTGTAAAAATAATTCAAAAGTTACTTGGCCTCAGCCCACATCCTCTGGCAGCCTGGTTCAACCATGATATACCAGTAGCTCAAAGAGGTCTTTCCTAATCAATAGTTTGCTTATATGTTACTGTGAGTGACACATTTATTTATAGAGGCTGACTTAAAGTACAAATATCAGTCATGGTATTTCAATGTAGCACTCTCACCAGCAACACAAGAATTGTCTACATGTGTTACCAAACAACAGCTGGATCATTTCCTTTGGCATTTTCCTCAGATTTGACCGTATGGGCTCTGGAGGGCCCCTGTTCATTGACATTACTTGGCATCCAGCAGGGGACCCAGGCTCAGATAAGGAAACCTCCTCCATGATGATTGCCAGCACAGCAGTCAACTACTGTGGCCTGGAGAGCATCCTCCACTTGACCTGTTGCAACCAGACCAAAGAGAAGATTACTGGCTACCTGGCCAAAGCAAAGCACCTGGGCCTGAAGAACATCATGGCACTAAGGGGAGGTAAGACAGGTGACATTTGTTTACATTATTAATTACAGGAGTGTTGGTACCCTGTAGTGCACTCCTTTCTGATTCTGAGTGGTCAGAAACATTACTAATAAAGTTAAATAACTGTTTGCTCTATAGTCCTTCGCGACAAAATAGTGCATAGACCTTAAAGACTTTAAAGCTGCAGTAGGTAACTTTTTGTCATATTTGCTGAAATTTTTACTAGGGCTGCAACGATTCGTTGAGTAATTCGATTACAAAAAATGATGGAGGAATTTCCTCTGCCTCGAAGCCTCGTTTAATTAAATTTAAAGCTCACGTTTCAGTGAGCAAACACAGCAAAGAGGAAGTAATAGGAGGAAGAGA